TATTTAACAAATAATTATTTTTTGTAATATAACAATTTATATTAAGTCCACAAATAAAAGTTTTGACTTCCTTTTTACAGAAAATCTATTTATAAAAAACCAAAGCACATGTCAGTCTTGAAAATAATCTCAATCACTTTCGACACATTTTTGCCATCTCTCGGCTGGCAAATCCCTGCTCGGAAGAACGATGGTGGCTTTGATTCAATAAATTCGGTTATGAAATTTTCGACCTCTTCGGGTGTTTGAAAGTACATTATCAATGAGATGATGCTGTAGAGAATGAAATTTGTACTATATCTGGAGAATAAGCCGCATGACAGAGAATATCCCAGTCCAAAGTATAGATTATTTTTTGGTTGCTGTCGCTGTGCGTTATCGTACAGCAGTATCACCTGACGAGTTCCCTGACCAGTATAGAGTCGTTTTCGATCACTCAAACGCATCAATTGTTTTATTGATAACGCTCAGACGTTACAGACATCTTATAAGTTTATTAAAATCAACAGAAAGTGTAAAGCCATTCGAGTCTTGAAAACTGGATGTTAATGTTTATTTTATAATGTGAATTTTATATACTGTGTATGTAGTCCCCCCCCGCGACGCTGATAGATTTTCAGCCTTGACGCATATTCACTACCACAGTAATATCACTTAGTTAAATTGAGAATCAATTTAACCAATTTTTGATGCCTATAGCATCATATTAGATCTTAATAATATGTTGAAAGACATATATTAAAATTTAATATTAAATTAATAATTTAAACTCAGAGAAGCTGAGATTGTGAAGAATATCACGAGTTGGCGTTTCGTCCCGGCTTCCACTACTGGACTCATCAGTAAGGTAATGTAGTGGGAGCCTACCTTAGACGCCTGGAAAGATGTTAGAAAGAAGTTCTATATAAACAATTACACATGTAATCAAGCACTTGCGAGAAATGGCATGAGTAACTATAGACCTCTGTTGGCTAGTCGACGAAGTGATATTCTTCACATTGTTCTTAATATTATTAAAGCGCATTTTTCAGGCCGCGCAATCATAATTTATCTTTCATACTTATAAGTTTAACGGAACAAAGTGAGTAGAATCGATTTTAATTAACATTTTGATTTGTTTCTCATTTGTTGCTCTCGGAATATGCAAGTTACGAATTTGTTGCTTACAAAATAAGTATAAACAACAACAAAAAGAAACCTGTTTCTCAAGAGTACAATGCCACATTTGCGTAATTTATAATAAACTTTTATTAAAAATAGAAAATGATAAATTTTAGGCTCATAGCTCTGTTTCCTTTATTATTTTTTAAATTTATTGAGCCTTATTATAATTATATAGAAAATGATAATTTTTTTTTATATTAATTTTTTAAATGTCACAATTTTATTCATTTTGAAATATCACGATATTAATCTAAAATGTTGATTTATTGAGAAATGTATACGTAGCTATTATTAGCTATCATTCGTCGAACTCTTTGGATGCAATTTGCATGCCGAGCGTGACACGAAATGGAATTCAAATGGAATACAAAGAGAAACTTTTCCGCGGTTTGAAGAATGAATCAAAAGGCCACGAAGTACATTTGTTCAATTATGTTGACAATACAAACAATCATTTAATGTATAGGTATAATTATACAGTGTACAATTGCCCGGATACACCGAAAAATAATTTATATAGCAAATCACCGTCAAAATTAATTTTTCCTCAATCCACTGATCACCGAAATTGTGTACCGATATACCAAAAAAACCGGATATTTCATTATATTACATAAATAGGAATAATTTCAGTAATCTAAAACACGATAATACACTGTTAAATTATCAACGTCGCAATAAATTTAATAATAAATTTAATAATAAATTTAGGAATTATTTTTTTATATTGGGGTCAAAATTTTTTTACTTTTTCAAAGTCTATAAATTAGACAGACAGAATGAATAAATATAATTTTTAAAGAATATTAACAAACATACACATATAGAATAACTAGGAAATATTTTGTATAAATGTGTTTTATCGCGATTTTCTAAACATTTTGTAATTATTACATAAAAGAATATCAGTTAAATCCTTATTGCAATTCTATCGAGAAATCTTGTAACTTCTCGATCATCATTTTGCAAAAAAAAAGTCCGGGAAAATCACTATAGTTGTCACATTAACTTTTTATATTAAATATCCTAGCAAGTAAATCTCGTCTGCAGTTTGTTCAGTAAGTGAAAGATGACAGTCATTAACTCGAGAGCAAAGTTTTATTTTCCATTTACACAACTCTGGCAAACTCAGCCGGCGAGAAGCTTTTATCTCTAGAGCAAAATAAGTTTGCCGGGGAAACGCTCGGTAGACACAAATACTCCGAGAGAATTTATCCCTTGGACATGCTTTGGCGTATTCACGACAACCCCGTCGTAGCAGAAAATAGATTTCCGCGATGGAGCTTGCGCATCAATGATGTCATATGCACGGTCAAAGTTCATCGACCTTTGACGTCGCGCGCCGGTCACCTGACAGCCGTGTGCAGTTCTTATTGTTCGTGTAACAGAAAGTTCTAGACGCACAAAGCCTCATCCGTTGAATCGTCGAATCTGCATGGCAATGTCATGATAATGCATAACGCACCGCTGCAAAACGTTATTACGCGGAATCGATACATCTGCGTCAATACTCGAGCGCTGCTCTCAACAATTCACGTGTATTTATCCGTTGCACAAGATCGTAAATCTCGCGAGAGTGTTATTGATCTTTTTTTTTTTTTTAGGCAAATGAAAGTATTTTCTTGTATAAAAAAAAACTTTTCCAATGCTTATTCCACGCCTTTTTTTCGACGCCTCGTGTCATATTTTCATTTTATTTTAACTTATTGTTTTAATTTGTTGCATATTGTTTGTTTTATTATAGCTTTTCGTTATGCTTTTACGTAAATGAATAATGACAATTTTCTTTTTTGTAGGAGCACACGTTTCGGTGCGTTCAACGGTTTCGTACCTCGGCACAGATCGTTATGAATTTCCCATTTACGTGACAGTCTACGAATATATGTGCTACGAATAAAAAATGAACGTAAATATTATGTAGAAAGCGCATTCGAATTCTTGACTTTATGTTCAACATCGAAATTTCAACCTGCAATCCAACCTTGATCTTCGATTGAAACGTGATCCCGCGAAATTGGCTTTCGCTGAGCGAAAGGACGGATATATATTCACGTCGTGAGAATCGAAAGCGCCGCGAGATAAGTCTCGTCCTTTTCCGTAAGAGAAACACGGTTACGCGGAGAAGTCCTTGACCTTCTACGACGTTTTGTTAACCGTTTCTAAGTTAAGATTCTGCGTCTAGATCGTCAAAAGACACGCAAGCCGCATCGATCGCGAGCACACCCTATATACATATATCTATATGCCGCAAGCCGAAAGCGCCGCGCGTGCAGTAACGGTTTTCGCAGTGCATCATGTGCAAAAAGAGATTGACTTTGTTATTATTCAACCTCTTATTATCCCCCAATGTCACGTCCACCTCACAAAATTTACAGTATAAAATAACAGTATCTATATATACATATAAAACAAAACAGATAAACCGCGGTGTTCACTAGTTTCCTGGCACGCAAATGGTATCGTAAATATGGAGTTAATTAAATCGGTAATTTAAATTTTTATTACGCTTTATTACATTTAGTTATGTGATATTAGAAGAAGGAAACGGAAAAAGAAAAAGGAGAGATATTTTTGTTTAATCTATTTTAGGCTGTAGTTTCTACATTATTTATTAAGAATGTAAAAAATTTTTCCTGAATTCACGCAAATAACATCACAAATGGAGTTGATTAAATCGGTAATTAAAATTTGTCTATAAATAAAAAATTTTTAATTTATTACATTTAGATTCGTAAAGAGAAGGAAAAGAAAGAAAAAAAGACATTTTTGTTTAAGCTTTTCTAAATGCAGAAATCTTACGTTATTTGTAAACAATGTAAAAAAAAAATTTCTGGAACACACAAATTCCATTATAAATAGAATTAATTACATTGATAATTTGTATCATATTCATAACTTTGTCATGTTGAATAAAAGAAAAGGAAAGGAGAAAAGAGATACGCGATATAACATGATACGAATTTTGGACCGATGAGGAAAATTTATACGGAGATATTGTAGAGCATTTTCTGGATGTAGAATTCCTTTGTTATTTGTAGAACGTAAAAAAAAATCTGAACACGTAAATGGCAGCGTAAATAGAGTTGTTAATTAAATCGATAACACAAATTTATGTTATTATATATATAGCTATACGTCAAATGAAAACGGAAGAAAGGAAAAAAGGAATGCATATAAAGAGACATTTTTGATTAGCCTTTTCCGTACGTCTTCGTATTCATTTATTCAGAACGCGTGAAAAAAAATTAATACTCAAATATTTGTAAACATACAAATGCAAAGGAAGGACGAGAGAGAGAGAGAGAGAGAGAGAGAAGATTGCAACTGCACACGCGAGCTGCTCGCGCCGGCGCAGGACTTTCATCTCTCGCGTGTGCCACTCACCAAATATACATGGAAAATAATGCGGGGCAAAGAATGTACCACAGCTCGGGCAGGCTCGAGCAACGCATTTGCATTAAACTCTCTGCAAGGTGTTCCAAAAGATCCCCGTGAAAAAAAAAAAAAAAAAAAACGTAAATTAAAGTCGCCGCACGCGTGTCGATTCGCAACACTCTCGTCGCGTGTCACGAAACTCGTCGTTATTAATAGCTCCGCAGCTAAATCAAAATAGAATCGGAGCAAAATAGAATAGGACAGCACCTTCCACATATTAATATCAGCTTAAGGACACAGGGGAATATCGCGGTCGAGACCTTGATGAGGCCCGCGACGATCGGTGACGACACGATGCAGCGGAAGGGCGAGAGCTAGCGAATTTTCCTTCGCGTGATTTCGCGACGGGGCAGGCCCGACGAGAGCAAGTGACGAGAGGAGCAGAAAGTAGGATTACTCACTTGGCGGTGGCGGCGTGCCCTAGCTGACGGGACGACGCGAAGTCATCGTCGTCGTTCTCAACGTACGCCTCGTCCGTGGAGGGATGCGCCGCGGCATGGCATCCGTCGTCACCGGTGTCCTTCGGATTCGCGACCAGTCTGTACATAGGACGGGATATACACTTCTCACGAGAACGCGACGCGCCGTACGCCGGTCGGCATCGCCGCAGGCGCCCGCGGGAACGACGCCACGGCCGCGTATTATCGACGGCCTCGGTCTCGCGCTCGGTCTCAGCACCGTGTGACACAACGGGAAACAAAACCGACACACGGGAAACAACACTTGTCGACCACCCCGTAGAAGCGTGTCGCGCTGCGCCTTACATCCCGCTACCTAGTAATCCTAGTACCGAAGTTCACATACGCCACCAGCTATCCGCTCCGCGGCACACCTGTCGTCATCTAGCCGACGCCGACGCCGTCACGACGACATGCGCCCTACATGCGATAATGCAACGTCGTTTCGCGCTGCCGCCGCCACCTACTGGCAACCGTGACAGCTAACTACGTCGAGATTATTCCTACAAGTGTCGGTAACGCGCAGCGCGTGAGAATAAGAAAACGAAGAACTGAATATGTATATTACGAATTATTCATAAATGATGAAAAATAAAAAACGATAACGAGATAAATTGATCATATTTTATCAATATATTCCGCGATTGGATTGAGAATTTATAACAGAAATAGTCCTGTAAGATATGCATACATAGAGAATGACATATATATTTTGAAGGATTTATTCAAATATCTCAGAAATTATCACCTACATAACTGCTCTGCGTAGACTTTTAGTATGATAAAAATAACTACGAGACGTTATGGCGATAAAAAAACTTACATACATATGTAGATAATAATAGTCATACATAAAAAAATAATCAGTATCCGAGAATGAATTGAAATGGATTAAAATGGATTCAAATTTTCAGAAATACGGATTCATGAATGTTTAAAATGAATCCTTTTCAATCTGAATACGTTTTTATTCATTTATAGGAATTTTTCAATCATAAAATAATATTAGCTTTTTCAGTACGTTTGTGACCATAGTGAATACTGTTCAATTCATATAGTTTTGAATAGGAAACGCAGTTTTTCAATCCAGTTGTATCCAATTGAATCTAATTGAATCCACAAAAAAGTATTTAAAATACGAATTCGAATAGACGAAATCCAATCCATTCTCGGATACTGGAAGTACATATACGTAATCTTAAAATTAGATAATCATTTTAATATGATTATTTTATACATTTAAAATACCTTTAGCTTTTACGCTCATCTAGCATAAGTATCATTTTTAATACATCTTGTCCAAATTTAATATAGTACACTCAGGATAATATATTATATAATCCAATAATTAAGCCCATCATGGGATAGTTTACGATATTCTCACTTTTTACACCTGTCCGGTAGAAAACTATTGGCTGCGTTCAGCAGAAAAAGCAGCTATTATAAAATTGTTGAACGTAATTATGGTTTTATACACTTAGATCTAGTGAAATACTAAGGATAAAACAAATTAAAAAAGTGTCCAACAATGTATAATGCCGATTTTTTGCAAAACGCAGTCAGTGAATAGATAGACTCAACATAAAGTAACTCATCTTGCTGTCAGCGCCTTCTACTACAACGCATAGTTTTCAAAAACATTCAAACTATATTCAATTCTTCAGTGAATTTGTTATATTGAAAAGACATTAAAGTAAGAATCAAGAATATTAAAATTAATCAAAGGATCAATTCGTGTGAGGACCGTTATTGGACAGTTTCGCCTTCAAAACGCATTGTCAACATTAGAAAAAAGTTCCGCGTCTGACACGGTGTTCCATTGCATATATACTTTCTATAAAAATTATTTCTACTGCCATACCATACACATTAAATCTCATTAAAAAAAAACTAAATCTTTATTCTCAACTTATTTCACCATTGGATCGTCATTATTATTAAGAGTATTCATAATTGTACTCAATCGTCATAATCCCATTGACAGTTGCCATGACATTAAAATATTTGTAAATTGCGATACTAAAAAATAAATAATTCTTTATACATCAAATGTATTATAGTAAATAACAATAACAATATGATGTACTTTAAATTACATGCCTAATTGAAGTAGGAAGATAAATGAAATGTAACTAATGGATTAAAACATTTTTTCATTAGTAACTTGAATTAAATTGTATATACTTACACCAACTGGTAACATTCCTCAAAAGCTCCTGCGACACAGGAAACAATAATGCCATTTTCTATTGTCATGTATACAACTGTGAACGTTTTTAGGTCATATTTGCTATAAAAAAGGCTTCACCGCAAACATAAAGTGCTGTACCTATATAAATACGAAAACGTAAAAATGAAAATAACCAAATGAGAAAGAATTCAAAAAAGATTAAACGTTAATTCTAAAGCATTTCAAAGTATAATGTATACTCATAACATAAATTTCTCATAACATAAATTTCTTTTAGTTGTAAAGCACATCTTACATACTTACAATTAGTATTTATAACGTTACAATTAATGATTCGCTATTATGTGCCTTCTTTTACATTGAATTATTTACTGCAAAATGATCATAGGCACCTTTACTATTCGTTATCAATTAATTTATGAATATACATGTCAAATTGGAATGGCTTTACACCTGATTGAATTCTCTTATTATGACAACTAAGAACATATTTACTCTTAAATATAATTCCTTCTGCATATGTGAAGTTAACCAAAAGCATCTTTATTTATGTTATGAGTGTAATGTTCGTCACTGTAATGCTCTCCTATAATATGCCTTCTTAGATCATATTCACTAATTAAAGATTATCATATACATATTCAGCGTTCGTCACCAATTAATTTAAGTATATAGGTGGAATTATCAAATAATTCCTGTAATTGTGTATGCACATTAAAAAACTCACTTAAATATAATTTTGCAATGTTGACATTAGAAAAATTTTACATCAGTATGAATTTTCTCACGACAAAGCAAATTATATCTTTTTTAAAACGCTTTATCACATGTTTTGTATTATTCGCGTCCCTCAGCCTCAGTATGTTTGCCTCTGTTACGCTCGTGTATATCACAGCAACAATTCGACGAAATTAAGTGCTCCTTTACATCTGGTTTCGAACTACAAAATGAGGAATATGCATCATTTTTTAAATAATAGTTTACAATAGAATTAGAATTAACAAATAATTCCTCTTATTTTTGATAATCATTAAAATACTCACTCAAATCTTTTTACAAATTTCGCATTCGGAAATTGCTTTGCGAAAAGGACAAGATCTTCGATGTTCATGCCAATCGGGTCTATTATTAAATATTTTATTACATCCGTGGATATCACAACAGTAGAATGATAGTTTAACATGTTCCTTCATTTTATGTCGTTTCAGACTGATTGAAGATGGAAAATGTTTTTCTTTAATATTAAGCAAGATAATTGTCATTAAACAAGTATGAACATAGTGACATAAAACGGATAATAGTAGGAATATAATTTAATGTTGTTGAAAACAATAAAAATATGGATCCTAAACTTTAGATCTTACCGCAATATTGGCATTTATATTTCGGTGTATCAGTATGCGTCTCTTGTGCTGGATTCATTTTTTTCAGATTAAACTGTCAAACTTTTCGGTTTTAATTCGTTTTATTGTAATGATGCCTAAACTATCTACGTAATTCTTACGACCAAAATTTTATTGGACATGTTTACCTTCCATTTTATAGACCTAAAATTATAAGAAAGTAAAATTGTTTATTGACTTCCTCAATTGCTTATCAAGAAATTTGTATCTCTGTATATTGTCATTAAAGTAAAAGCTTTTCTATTTAAGGCCCGGAGACACTTTTTACAATGCGATGATAGAACACAGTGTTGTAACAATGTCCTTATAATGTTAACAAATTCAGCATTGAATTATAGGTGTGTATGTACACTGGGTTTAATGGATCTCGAATTTTATTGTTTGTCACTATGGGCTGTACAAAATATATGTCGGTATCAGCCATCAACTTTTAATGTACTTCAACGCTAAACTGATATATTTTATTGTTATTGATATTGAACACGTAGTGTAGGAACGTTTATTCCCCGTACATAACGTTCATTTTTTTCTCAACTTACATAAACAATATTATGTAAAATATTATATTGAAATCAAATCATTGAAAAATAGTAAAAATAGTCTATTTTTAATCAAACTGAATACTCTGTAATAGGTATAATGATATATATATATATATATATATATATATATATGTATAACCGTCATCATGTTTAAATATAACGTTTTTTTTTACAAATAACTAATAAATATGAAAAATAAAATATCAACAATGAATTGTATAGATTCAAGTCATGTTTTAAAATTAGAAGAATAGGAATTAGATGGATTTCAGTGAGCACGGTGGACAATATATGTATATCCAAAATTTATTTCACGTTCGGTGTTGAGAACACAGATTGGTTCCGGACAAGAAAATTATATTAAACTAATAGCTGTCACGAAAACTAAAGAAGAAGAAATAGAGTGATGTACCGAAAACAGACTATATGTGTATCATAAAAGAAGAGGTAATAACGCATAACATTAGAATATAGAAATGAAAAGATTTTATTATTTCATTGCTTACATGCGATACTTACAGTTTAGATGTAGTATAATCAAAACCGAGAAGTACGGTTGAATTTAAAATTTGTCTGCTGTCAATAAATCATTGTCGAAATCTTCGGAACGACTGAGACAAAGTTTACATTTGTGTACTTTTGTACTTACATATACTTATATGATTTGTTTCGGATATCTTTTACTTTTTAGAGTACAAATATATCACAAATATATAAAAAAATGATTTAAAAATATTATATAACGAAAGAGAGTGAAATACGGCGAAAGAGAGGGATGGTGGTGGAGAAGGGGTGCGGTCAGTCGAAAATGGTGAAAGTTTGAGTGAAAGGTGAGAGGGGATGTTAGAGTTTTAATACGGCCTTGAATGCGAACAGAGAAGAAGGAGAAGCAGAAGAAAGAGACGTTTCTTAATTTTTCATAAAAATCATCACTTTTCGACCGCTTGTATATCTCCAGAACGGCTTGACCAATTTAAAATTTTTTTGGCTCAAATTACTCGTGGGGATGCCGCCTTTCAGGACATATAACGTTCGATTCAAAACTTTTCATATTTTAGTAGTTATACACCCCCGAAAAATGGACTTTAGTGGCTCGGGATAAGAGACTTGTGGTGTATTCCAGTTTTTTTTTTAATATGGCCGGAGACACTACTGCGTCTCCTGATATTGCCGAATACTGATGATGTCTGTCCGATTGTACACTGGCTGTATCGCGTTGTTGCAGAAAATGATGCAATATCTTCTAAATTTCGCTTTTTGCCTCCAAAGAAAATCATCACTCTAATGTATGAAACTGCGACAGTAAATGATGGCGTAGACAGCGACTTTTGTGGGGTGTGTGTGGAATATTTCACACATCAGACTTTTTTGAAAATAACAAATATTAGACTAAAAATAATTATATTTTTTTGGAACGTTTGCTCTACAAGATTTAATTTATTAAACAAATAAAATTGAAGTTGAATGACTCTTTATATGAAAATAATATAATAATCTAACAAAGAAAGGACAATAAGAGTCAAGTAGTAAATAAAATAAAATAAAACGGTTAAAACATTTAAATAACTTTAGCTGTGTATATACATAAAAATAATTGAAATACAAAAATAAATTAGAAGTACTTAGCCGCTTATGATGTTATAAAAATGTTTTATAATTTATTAAACTCTTTTTCACAAGTTTAGTTTTATGAGTTAATTTAAGTATGTTTCACGTTAAACTATAAATATTTATAAAATATTTATAATTTTGTTGCTCATTATTTTTTGCGATTATAAAAGGACTTTAATGTGTGTGACTCTTATTAGCCTTGTACCCTTTTAATATGGAGATTAAATAAGTTCTAGGGAAGAGGGAATTTTTGCTCGCCCCCTACTTCCCACGATCAAGTTGTCCAATTTCACATGGCGAATTGATAGTCGCCACCTCTGAATGATGGTGCTTTTTAAATTCATCGACAACATTGATTTTCGTCGTAAGAACGCTGACAGGTTAGAGGTGACCGACAAGGTGATACATTGCTTGTCGAAGTAGAATAATATCTATCATTGAAGCACTCAAAATAAGTGAACGAGCTACTTCTTTTTCAGCAAATTCTTACAACAATTGAGTCAATACCAGTTGGCTTTTACTAAAACAAATCATTCGTAAATCAACGTAAAAGAAAATTTAAAAGGAATATTAGTTTTCGAATATCCTTATTATTATCATTTTATTGATTCTACAATAAAGGTTGCTGAGTGTGCGTTATGTGTACGCTTCAAATATCTATATCTAATATTACTGTTGTAATATAAAAACATAGAATCAATAAATTGCACGCCGTATACAAATTGTCATATATTGCAATATATAATTATTCTATAATATAATAAATTATTCTCTTGTAGTTGCGAAAACGTGTTTTCTAGATTCTATCTAAAATATTGTAAATATCCACACAACTGAACGCAAAAGTATACGTATATGACGTAACGCCGCCGCATCGTCGCTCTTGTTCGTCACGATGAGATGTACATATGTGAGTAAATACGATGCTGCTTGCATTATTTATTATTGAGCATCGAGCCCATTATAGGAGCGTTGCCGCAGTTCGGTTAAGTAAATTATGACATATATTAATGCGCACGTAGAGAGAATATCAATAAATGTGATGTCATGATATATATATATATATATATATATATATTAAAAGCGGGCACGAATTCCTCGAGGTAGACGTTCACGATTTGTTCTCCACGTATTGATCCCGGTAATGACGACAAGGGCGACACAAATTCATTGTTTTGTACATATACGTCTAAACTTTCACTCTCGGATTAGGAATGTCTCGGATTAAGAAGTTACCACTTTTTTTTTAATGTACACAATAGGCAAGAAACATTTTGAAACATTTCATAACACATTAGCAACGTTAAAATATTTTTTGCTTACTGGATATATGTATATATGTATGTGTATCATACATATACACTATGCATATATATTTTATATACGTGTGCAAAAGTAATAGTTGTTCACAATTTCTGCTTTGGGAACACATTTACATGTTTGCGCGTATTTGCAGCTATTTACCATTCTTTATACCTATAATTGTTACACGGTTGTTATTGTTATTGCAATTTTTAAATTACTTCCCTTTTCTAATAGGGTTATTGAAAATTAATAAAACTATATATATTTTCAAAAATAAAACATCAAATCAATAAAAAAATTGGTATCCTCTGTATTCCGATTTTACCGAGACATTTGTGATTATTCGATTATTATGCGCCGTACATAAGCATTTAGTACGAAATATTTCGAAAATTTATTTCTCTCGGAGGGGGGGAGGAGATTTTTGTTTTCATGCAATTGTTTCTTTATAAGAAACAACTATCGCAAGTCTCGATAAGGCACTTCCAAAACACATACAATCGTTACTTCTTCTTCTTCGGTTCAGTATCGATCTCGACTTTCTTCGTTTCTTTCTCAGTGTTGTTTTTCTCTTTACTAGCGTCGTTCTTAGAGTCTTCGTTTTCTTCTTCCTCCTCCAAAAGTTTCGACTCCAGTTCGTGCTTCTTCAATTCCTCTTCTAGCAAGGCGTCCCAATCGGACATGTCCTTACCTTCGCGAACTCTTTCCAATTCTCGCTTGAGCATGTCGAGGCATTCCCTTCGTTCCTTCCACTTCTCCGACATCTCGAGACTCTTTTTCTCATCGTCGATTTGATCCAACATTTCTGCCCTTTCCTTCTCCTCGCATTCTAACACGTATTTTTCATAACTGTCCACCTAAAGAATCATATACGTTTATAATAATTAATAACTATTTTATAAAATATTAACGCTTTAACTGCCAAAAGCTGATATATGAATGTTGAACTTATTAAATCTAATTAATCTAATTAATCTAATGTTGTCTTTATATTCCGATCTTTTTTTATTTATATAGTGTTTATTTTAATATCTCAAAAAACTTAGTAAAATAATTCTAAATTAAATTAATAAAATACATATAAATATAAGTGATTCTATTGAGTTTCTTGATGAGTGATAATATTGAGCTTCTTAAAACGGTTTTAAATGTAAAATTTATCCTTTTATATAAGATTTCATTATTAATATATGTCCTATGTACCTACTTATAACAATGCGCATGGATTTGTGTTATGCACAATTGATTTAAAAAAAAAAAAACACAAGTAATTAAATCTACTAAAAGACAATCAAGTTTACCTTATCTTGCAACATTCTTTGAACATCATTTTGCCTTTTCAAATGTTTCGGTAGCCAAAAGCAGGCCTGGATCAGCCGCAAAAATATCCAGACCGCTCCGGCGAGTGCCAAATAGGAGCAAGCGGTAAACACCATGTTCGTCATGTCTACAGTTACTTGTTGGTGCTTCATAATGATAATTAATTCAATTTAAATGTTCCTGCAATAAGGACAATCATGGAAATAATTTTTAAATGGTTTTAATCACATTTAAGCTAAAATACTTGTAACAATTCGCAGAACAAACTAATAATAACGTTATATAATATATTATAATTTCCTATCCTTCAGTGTAAAGCTTAATTTACAGTATGTTGTTTGGTTCCTATTTCTTGCTTTTTACCTCATGCCTTTTTCCTTTTTTATTGCGGTTGTTTCATTGACGATCGCGTTTCCTATCTCTTACGATCATTTATACTTTTATTTCAAAGGTGACAGGAAAAAAAGAAAACTGGATAAAATATAAAAAGGCAAGAAGTAAAAAGTGAAAGAAAAACAAAAAATAGGAAATAAAGATTACATTGTAGAATAGACTTGTAACTGTTATTGTACAGTATGTTATATTTCACGATGTACGTACACAACATATTGTTGAGTGGGAAATTATAAAATAAATATATATGTTACTGTTTGTATTTTGCGAAAATAATACAAATAACAATACAGATTTGAACAATACAAAGATAAGCAATTTTACAAGGAATGTCTCGAAAAAATGCCTGTGCTATTGTTTGTCAACTAATCCAAAAATATTGAAATTTTCTCAGTTCTATGTAACAGATAAAAGAGAAATTCTATGAAATTTTATTGATTTATATACATAAAACTTAAAATAAATTATGTGCTTTTATTTGACGACTTCAGGAAGTGCTCTCACAAAATCTACAATTGTTTCTATTCGAGTTTAATAATAAACTTTGAATACGTTCAAATATAAAAATGAGTGATAATATTGAGCTTCTTAAAACGGTTTTAAATGTAAAATTTATCCTTTTATATAAGATTTCATTATTAATATATGTCCTATGTACCTACTTATAACAATGCGCATGGATTTGTGTTATGCACAATTGATTTAAAAAAAAAAAAACACAAGTAATTAAATCTACTAAAAGACAATCAAGTTTACCTTATCTTGCAACATTCTTTGAACATCATTTTGCCTTTTCAAATGTTTCGGTAGCCAAAAGCAGGCCTGGATCAGCCGCAAAAATATCCAGACCGCTCCGGCGAGTGCCAAATAGGAGCAAGCGGTAAACACCATGTTCGTCATGTCTACAGTTACTTGTTGGTGCTTCATAATGATAATTAATTCAATTTAAATGTTCCTGCAATAAGGACAATCATGGAAATAATTTTTAAATGGTTTTAATCACATTTAAGCTAAAATACTTGTAACAATTCGCAGAACAAACTAATAATAACGTTATATAATATATTATAATTTCCTATCCTTCAGTGTAAAGCTTAATTTACAGTATGTTGTTTGGTTCCTATTTCTTGCTTTTTACCTCATGCCTTTTTCCTTTTTTATTGCGGTTGTTTCATTGACGATCGCGTTTCCTATCTCTTACGATCATTTATACTTTTATTTCAAAGGTGACAGGAAAAAAAGAAAACTGGATAAAATATAAAAAGGCAAGAAGTAAAAAGTGAAAGAAAAACAAAAAATAGGAAATAAAGATTACATTGTAGAATAGACTTGTAACTGTTATTGTACAGTATGTTATATTTCACGATGTACGTACACAACATATTGTTGAGTGGGAAATTATAAAATAAATATATATGTTACTGTTTGTATTTTGCGAAAATAATACAAATAACAATACAGATTTGAACAATACAAAGATAAGCAATTTTACAAGGAATGTCTCGAAAAAATGCCTGTGCTATTGTTTGTCAACTAATCCAAAAATATTGAAATTTTCTCAGTTCTATGTAACAGATAAAAGAGAAATTCTATGAAATTTTATTGATTTATATACATAAAACTTAAAATAAATTATGTGCTTTTATTTGACGACTTCAGGAAGTGCTCTCACAAAATCTACAATTGTTTCTATTCGAGTTTAATAATAAACTTTGAATACGTTCAAATATAAATAAAAATAAAGCATATAAATTTTTTTATAAGCATTGAGAAAAATGATCGGTTTTTCACAGTGAATATCGTAAATTGTGAAAGATAGAAAAATATGTTTCAAATAAAAGTTAAATAGTTGTAAGAGTATTTATAATAATTTTTTTTCCAAAAAGAAAAACATAATCTCCCATAAACTCTGGCTCTCCAGATTCAAAATATGAATTCCAATAATTGAGGGCGAATGAGAGTGAAGCATTTATTGGTACGCAAATTAATAAGAAATAGATTAGTATCACATAAATACTTTATTCAGATGAAAAAATATAGATCTTATTTAAAATAGAGATCTATTTTATTGTTTGAAAACTTTGTTGGAAAACTTATAATATAATAATAGAAAGATTTTTAAACAAATCTTTTATTTATCAAAAAATAAAAAATTAAAAAGAAATATTAAAAAAAATATTATAAAGTATTAAATATACTTCCCAGGTCAAATAAATAATGAGCTATATTTGTTGTTACTATTCAATAAATGTATTACAAGTCATCCTCAGCCGCATAAAAAACAAAAATTGTTTTTTTTTGCGTCTGTGATATGTAAGCGTATTAATTAGATTAGGGTTTTTTATGCGGCTGAGGATGACTTTGTAAAGTCGAAACGTTCCGAGTTAATTTTATTGATTGTAATAAATTTATTGAATAGTAACAACAAATATAGCTCATTATTTATTTGACCTGGAAAGAATATTTATTTTTTATAATTTTTAATTTTATATTATATGAGCTGAGAATATTTATTAATTTTTATAAAGTATTCTTAAAACTATTCAACTTTTATTTATAACGATTTTTTATATCTTTCACAGTTTAGACTGTAATATTTACTCTAAAAGAAAAAAACCGAGTTTTTCAAGGCACAGGTTTTTCATCCTCTTAAAACATATATTACATTCAACACTTTAATTTAAAACAAATCGCATCTTTTATTTTTTATTAATATCTTAACGTATCCATAGCTTATTAAAATCGAAGATGAACAGTTGATTAATTGCATTCTTTTGTCGGAATTTTTTGTTAAAAAGATTCGTTCTTTATTCATGACTTATTAACTCTGTGACTCTTGCAAAACGCGTCATCGATTTTGCGGTCAAATAATGCGTGCAATATTCTCTTTTTCTCATGTCTATATCATTCAACTCTAGTGTTGCATAAGTATACCATTCACGAGACAGTGCACTGCGTTGCAGTTGCAGACTCGACTAGGCGATTATACGTATGGTGATAAGTGACCTACTGCGGGTCTCGTCGTGTGCTTTAAACACACCGCGGGGAAGACGACGTTGAAATCCGTATCCCGCGACAAAACGTATTTGGGTTGATTCCATTTCGATAACGTCGACAAAAACGGTTCCTCGACGGAAACGAGATATTTTCGATGACGCGTGACAGTTTCGTGAACAGCGTGCGCAGATATGTCACGTCGCGATATCCGTTTGTCGGTGCCTTTGCGGCTGTTCTGTATCGATCACGCCCGTTCAGAATGCGAATGTGTGCAATATATACGGCGTGAAAAAGAAAGCTTGAAATTTCCATTAAGATCCTCATCGCGGAAGTTATTAATATTGAGAAGCGCCAAAGGAAGATAATTTATGCATCGTGCCGGTGTCCTTACTAGGTCTTTCGCGATAGAAACTGTCTGCACGATTTATGCAACTTTTGGTGGTGAAAATTGTGCGTTTACGTCAATATACAATTATTTCCTTCGATTTTACTTTACTCACCATAATGATAATGAATTCGATGCTTAATAATTATACGGACGAATACGTCTCAGACGCGTTGTGTGAGAAACTCGGAAAAAACATAAAAAGAAGAAAACTTATTAAGAAATTCTGAACGCAAATTTTTGGAACGTAAAATTTGAATATCGTTATCGAAATGTTAAAATTATAACAAATTCTTTGTGAGAAATTTATTAATAGCGCTGCGTTAAATAATACGCAGCAAAATAATATTTTAAATAATACGCGGTGAAACAGATATTTTTCAAATATTTCTTCAAAATATACAGTCATAAATATCGATATAAATTAATGCAGCATTCATTATAAAATAAATAAATTCGTAATTATATTTTAATAAAAATAAAGAATTATTATGAAAATTGCTGACACTCTATGATTCTTTCCAAATTAATTAACAAATGTTATGTTATAGGAACAAAAATGTTTGATCAAATTAACTTCTTATTCATATATTTTACTAAATCTTCAAGAGTATAAAAAATTTAATTATTTAATTAATTTATTCACTTGCCTTTTGCCTTATTCGAAGAGTCTCCTATGTCGACGAGAACATAGCCGTGTAAGAACGTGCTCTACCTAAGAGGTATGAACTACTGAATGTATCACGTCTGGAAGTAGTAGGAACTACTATGTGTCCGACTGACAGGTGGAACGTTACTCCTCTACTGACCCCCTATGGAAATGATCGATATATGGATGTAGCCACGTATGATTGAGTTGACACTATACAAATATTTCAGCATGTGTACACACATTACGTACGAAAGACCGTATGCGCATATTTGGCAGAAACAAAATTTCGCCGAATATAATTATCCTTGACTAGGATTTTGCAATATTTACAAGAGTTCGCTGATGGCGCAACAAGAATGAAAAAATTTTCTTTCCATCGATCGTGCATCGGTAGCTTCTTTCTTATACTGTAATTCAAAATTGATTCACGAGAACTATTATTTACGCAAACAGATGGAAATTGTGCCACTTTCCATCGTGTGATTGATTAATATCAGAAAGTACTCGTGGAAACGATAGACGTTTGTAATAAACGACGTTTTAAAATATTCAAACTACGTCGCCAATGACGTCCATCGGTATAAAGTCGCATGTGGATTTTCTGAGGATTGGGTCAGGTGCTTCCATCTCGCGATACTACACAAAGCACATATGGTAGACAGGTGTGTGTCAAGAATACATTTTTTTTTTTTATTATTTTACAGATAACTGAATAATAAAACGTT